TTCTTTTCTTCTTTCTTTTCTTCCTTCTTTTCTTCTTTCTTTTCTTCCTTCTTTTCTTCCTTCTTTTCTTCTTTCTTTTCTTCAAACTGTGATTCTTGGAATGATTCTTCTTCAGGAGACTTTCTCTCCTGTTGGGAATCTAAATCCTGAGCAGGACCAAATTGGACCATGGTTTTAGAAACGTTGTCTGTCAGATTACCTTCTCCTTCACTAGAGGAAGATAAAATATTTTGAAGAGTCTCAGTAACTGGAGGGGAAGCATCAGGAAGACTTGCACCAGGAGCACGAGCATCTGTCAAAGTGTCTGGAGTCTGTGATTCTGGATTAGGAGAATCAGGTGGAGGTACTTCTGCAGATAGTAAGTCAGGAGTAAGTTCATCTGGAGAAGGTATTTCTGGAGATGTGTCAGGGAGAGGTGTACCTGATGGAGACAAAGCCACTGAAGTGTCTGGAGTTCTAGAGGATGACACTTCTGGAGGTAGCTTTAAAGGCGGTTCTTCAAAAGGGGGTGCATCTGAAGGCAGTAATTCAGGAACAGGCCCTTCAATAAAAATCTCCCGAGTTGGTGGTCTTTGTGGTGGAACATCTGGAAAAGAAGATTCTCCTGATGTGGCTGAAGATGCAGAGGATGGTACTCCTGGAGTATTGTCTGAAAAAGGTGGATCAGGAAGATTTGATTCAGCTGATGTGTCTTCAGCTTCAGATGCTTGCCCTTGGGAAGTAATAACTGGAGAAGATGAACTTAGAGGAGATAACTCAGCAGATGCTTCTTCTGGCAGATTCATTTTTGAGCTAGGTACACCAGGAGATGGGACAGCAGCAGTAACTTCATCAGGAGATAGATCCAGGGATGGTATGCTTAGCTGATTATCTGGAAGAGGTGCTGGAGTGTCTGGAGTTGTCTCAGATCTTGTAAAAGGAGCATCTCTTTCCTGACTGGCTGTAGCAAACACAGATGGCAGAGTATCTCCAAAAAATGCCTCATTACCAGCTGGAGCCAGATCTGGGATGCTGGCTGATGCCACTACACCAACAGAAGGTGGAATGATACTGGCCATCAAGTCAGTTCCAGATAACACAAAGTCTGGAGTGGAGCCAAAGGGTGCAGTGACTGAATCAGTCCTAGACACCTCCAAGTCACTACTGCTGCCTGGGATTGTTGGGCCCTTACTGGTAACACTGGAGCTACTACTGGTCATACTGGGAGTGGAGACAACTGCTGTGGACACAGGTCCAATCTGCAGAGTTGGACTGTCTTCTGATTGTCCTGCTGTATTGCTGAAGTCAGGAAGTGCCTTCGTAGTACCAATAGTATTGCTGCTGGCAGTGAAAACTAGAGTATTAGAGTCAAATGTTGTGATAATGTTAATGTTATCAGTTGTAAGAGCAGTCTTAGACATACTGAGGGTCCCACCACGACCATTGTTGAGTACAGTAGTATCAATAGTAGTAGTAGCATCAGTGGTAGTACTTGTTTCTATAGCACTGGTAGGCCATGGATCAGTGGGGGTAGAACTACTACCTGTATCTGATGTTGCAGGAGCAATTCTGGTGCTTGAGTCAGTACTCAGTGTGTACAAAAACAAAGTCAGATCAGTATCTGTAACACGTGTAAAAGCATTGTCAGTAAAAGCACTGTCAGTAAAAGTACTGTCAGTAAAGGTACTGTCAGTAAAAGTACTGTCAGTAAAAACACTGTCAGTAAAAGTACTGTCAGTAAAGGTACTGTCAGTAAAAGTACTGTCAGTAAAAGCACTGTCAGTAGTAGTCTCAACAGCAGCACTCCTATCAGTCTGAGTACTGCTGATGGCCATAGTAAAAGTGGTGGTAGAAGTGTCAGTGACAGGAGTGTTGGGACATGCAGCAGTAGTACTAGTAGTACTTTCAGTCACTCCATCTGATGAGGCAGAAGGTCTATCAGATGCTGCTGAGTTAGAGTCACCAGCCGCTGTCAGAGAAGAAGAGTTGTTACCCTTTAGTGAATTTGTTAATCTGGAGAAACTGGCTGAAATCTGCAGAACAGGAAACTGAGACAGCTTTCCAGTTTAACTGTTTTTAACTAATGTCACAACTCCACCGCGCTTTTCTTCACCATCAACATCTCGTTGTGATGGAAAAATTAACATGCAGTTTTAAAGTGTGTCCAAACAGAAATATTTAACACTATCACTAACTACGTGAATGCAGACTGCTTGTTTTTAATGTTTGAAACAATCCAGCCTGTCTTCCTAACATCTCCTCTCTGCAACAAGGCTGGACTTATTTTGTCTCTCACAGATGTAACATTTTGTTTTTGGTAAATTAATAATGGCATTGTGGGATCTGGTGTTGGGCAGCATGGTGGAGCAGTGGTTAGTGCTGTCGTTTTGTATTCCATCTGGGGGGGGGGGGGGGGGTTGTGTGTGAGAAGTTTGCATGTTCTCCTTGTGCTGGAGACCTGTCCAGGTGTCCCTGTGATGGACTGGAGACCCATCTAGGTGTTCCGGCCTGCGATGGACTGGAGACCCATCCAGGTGTCCCTGCGAAGGAATGGAGACCCATCCAGGTGTCCCTGTGATAGACCAGAGACCCGTCCAGGTGTTCCTGCGATGGACTAGAGACCCGTCCAGGTGTCTCGGCCTGTAATGGACTAGAGACCCATCCAGGTGTCCCTGTGAAGGAATGGAGACCCATCCAGGTGTCCCTGTGATAGACCAGAGACCCGTCCAGGTGTTCCTGCAATGGACTAGAGACCCGTCCAGGTGTCTCGGCCTGTAATGGACTAGAGACCCGTCCAGATGTCCTGGCCTGCGATGGACTGGAGAACCGTCCAGGTGTCCCTCTGATTGTCACTCAATGACTGCTGTGTCCCGCTCCCCCTCTTCTGTTTCTACACACTTTTTAAACTGTTGGAAACTTAAAATAAATTTTAGACGAGCGTCTGGAAGTGCAAAACTGTCCAATCACGAGACGGTAAAAGTTTCAGTTTGTGTTCTGCAGAATCCATTTCTGTCTCTAATGTTCCCTGACCGCAGCTGAATGCAAACTCTGCAGGACGAGGTTTGATGATCCAGCTGCTGTCACATCTGCTCTACATCGACTGCTTTATCCATCTACCACTTATAATGTCCGACTTGTGTCACTGTTGCATCTGAACGAAAGTTTCTGCCGTGTTTATAATGTGGCTGTTTTTGTTTCATTTTTTATATAAATGTATTTTATTTACTTTTTATTTTATATGCTTTTTACATGATTGTGTATTGTTGTCTGTACCTCATCGTGCTCTTGGTTAAAAACAGGTCTCTCTTGAGACTAACCTGTAGAAATAAAGGTTGAATGAATCTTTAATCTATCTCAGCCAATCACGGTGTCATTTGTAATTGGTCTTAATCTACAGCAGATTTCTGTCATCTTAAATAGAATATTTGTCTCACAGCTATCATGCTTGTGCACGTTTTAAACATTAAATTGTACTTGTACAACAGTCTACTCTGCTTACTTTTAAAACTTTACATCTGACAATACATTTCTCGATTTGGTATTGATATTTGACCTCAAGCGACTCAAGTTTTTGTGTCAATAATCTTGGATTTTGATGTAAATAAATATTTATGTACATAGTTATTTAACTGTAAGTAATCAGAGATTTTAACTTTTTTTTTCTTTCAGCTGCTCCCTTCTTGAGGGGTCACCACAGTGAAGTAACTCACATGAAGACTTGGTGATTGTTTTTACGCCGGATGTCCTTCCTGATGCAACCGCAGACCACCGAGCTACCACAGCCGTCTGTGTGGAGCAGAGAGCTGACAGCTAGGGTGCCCGGGGGAGCAGATGGTGGGGGTTAAGAGCCTTGATCAAGGGCCCAGATTATGATGTTGTCGAGCTGAGAAGTTGAACCGGCAACCTTCCGATCACAGGCCCACCTTCTCTAACCTCTGCGCCACCGCTCCCCCAATCAGAGATTTGACAGTATATAAATAAATAACTATGGATGTTGTAAATAAGTCTTACATGCATAATTGATAATGTACAAATTTACAATCCAGCAATTCTAAAAAAAAATTTTTTTTCTAAAAAGATGACTGGATGTTTTTTCTTGTCAATTTTTGATGTGGTGTATTCTGGATAACTGAAAATCTCCATCAAGTTTTCTTGAATATTGTAAAAGTTTTCAGATTCATCTTGTTTTAAGACAGAAATCTGCTTCAGTTCCACTTAGAAATTTGCTCAGTGAATTCGGCTAACAACGAATCTGTCTGGAATAATTCTAAACTGATTTGATCAATGTTTGCTGCAGGTAATATAATGATTACTAATAAGTGCTCCTCAAAACAGCACTTTAATCAATCTGTACTACTCCTTCTAGTTATGATGTGAAATCAACTGATGCAATAATGACAAGTGTTCAGACACACACGGGTTGAAAACATGCGACCTGACACAAACTAGCAGACAGGTGACTACACAGATGAACAGACAGGTAAGCTGACAGGTGAATAGTTGAGAATCACTTACTGGCTGCAGTTTTGACTCCTTCACCTGTAAAGAACCAAAAGAACCAAAGGTAACAACAATTATCTCTCTGCTCCACATTTTACATGAGGACAGCATTTTTGTAAGATGTCTGATGAAAACTAACAGATTGTAGAACCCTTGGGAACAAAGTCACTGCAGGTTCTAGGACCTGCGCTGAGGTTTTTTTTTTTCTTTCTTTCCTTTTGGATATTTTGTTTAAAAAAAAAAAAACAGATCAATGAACTGAAGATTTTTGGTTTTCGTTAAATTTTTAGACATTATTTTTGTGTTTCTGTAAACTGGGAGAACAGAAACAATAAATAATAATATTCAGGTTTGGTGGTTGTGTATACAGGTGTGTACAGTGGCTGTGTATACAGGTGTGTACAGTGGTTGTGTATACAGGTGTGTACAGTGGTTGTTTATGCAGGTGCGTTCAGTGGTTGTGTGTGCAGGTGTATTCAGTGGTTGTGTATACAGGTGTGTACAGTGGTTGTTTATGCAGGTGCGTTCAGTGGTTGTGTGTGCAGGTGTGTACAGTGGTTGTGTGCAGGTGTGTACAGTGGTTGTGTGCAGGTGTGTACAGTGGTTGTGTATACAGGTGTGTACAGTGGCTGTGTATACAGGTGTGTTCAGTGGTTGTGTGCAGGTGTGTACAGTGGTTGTGTATACAGGTGTGTACAGTGGTTGTGTATACAGGTGTGTACAGTGGTTGTGTATGCAGGTGTGTACAGTGGTTGTGTATACAGGTGTTTACAGTGTTTGTGTATGCAGGTGTGTACAGTGGTTGTGTATACAGGTGTGTACAGTGGTTGTGTGCAGGTGTGTACAGTGGTTGTGTGCAGGTGTGTACAGTGGTTGTGTGCAGGTGTGTACAGTGGTTGTGTGCAGGTGTGTACAGTGTTTTTGTGCTTGCTGGTGCATACAGGTGTTGGCAGAGCCTCTGGGCAGGGGCAGGTATGATCCTGGTCTCCAGCTGGAGGATCTGAAGTCTCCACTGCAGCGTTGGCAGTCTTGTCCCATTGTGTAGTGGTCACATTCACACTGCAGTGTTGCATCGCGCAGTAAACACCGAGATGCATGCAGGTTACATTTACACCTGAGAAACAAGGGGAGGTGTTGAAATTAAAGATGAGCTAATTCTCCAGATTACACCAAAGCTCAAAGTTTTCCTGGTCATCCTGAAACCCTCACAACAGCTCAACTCCCAATCAAAATCTCTGCCTGATAATCTTCATGAACTTTCACATTCTTTTAAAATGACCCCTGGATAAACTTCTAATTATTGTCACGTGCAAGGATTTTTTGGGTGATGGCCAGTTTGTCAACTGTGGACATTAATTTACCAATAAATGAGCTCAAATGAGGATAGCTGTGTTTTTGTTATCACTCTCACAGCACAGGCTCCACTTGTTTGGCCTTTATGGGGCTTTTGCAAAGGGGTGGTTGGTGCATACAGGAGAAGACATTTATTTAAACTGTACAAACTCCCTGGACATAGAACTGGACAGCCAGTTGTTCTTGTTCACTAAAGTAGGGCCATCTCTATCAGGAACAAGCCCCCAGGCTTCCTTTAGTTCCCTCTCACATTTGGAAAGCTGGCATCGGGAGTCTCCTGCATAAATTTGGCAGTTCAACTGGTACTGAATGACAACCTACAGCAATGTTCCGACTTGAAGCTTCTTGGGGTGTGGGACTGTGTTTGCTGATCCTGTCCTTGAAGGAAGAGAGTAATGCGGCCCTATCAGAATTCCAGATACCATGTATTTGTCATTCATCAACATGTCTGACATATAGAAGGAAAAAAACTAAACAAATTTTCAGAGCCAAAATAATAAGTAAATGACCTAAAGTTGATTAATAAACACAAAAATCCCATGATCCACAAAGTTAATATTCCATTCCACTGAGCCAGAATACCTTTCTGCTATGGGGAGAAGGGGGAACAGTTCAAAAGCTAGATGGGTGGGGTCCATCATAATGTTCTTGCTCTGGTTCTGCACCATCTGGTATAAATGTCCTCTAATGACGGAGTCTTCTACTGATAATTTAGCCAGTCTAATTATAGTTTGCAGTGCCCAGAACCCCAGATCCTGACATGATTCAGGTTCAACTGGCTGGCCTACATGTATGTTGTGATGCTGCTCCCTCCTCCTCTTTCAGGTAACTCTGCATGCTATGATCTGAAACATCTAACCTAACTTGGCAGTAATCTGATAAATCTGAGGACTGCAGCTGTGTTTCTCTGAGTCAGACGGTTGAACCATTGGAAGTTACCACTTTGGTCACATATTGAAGTATGTTGTCAGAAAAAACAACAACATTTTTACTTATGATGAGTGTCTGGGATGGATGGATGGATGTCAATAAGATGCTTGGACAATTTGTGGGTGTCCTTAAAGTTTGTGAAGTTGTAATCTTGTGTCAGTGGGTCTGGCTGGTTGTGAACAAGTTACCTGGCAGGTACATCGATGTTGGAAACAGCATAGAAGTACTTGAGCAGGTTGTCTCTTTGTACATAAGTTCCTCCCAGCGCTGGACGGAGGAGGCGCAGTCGAAGGTTGGTGAACGTGAAGAAGTCTCGGAGGCCTTTCATGGTCTCCATTCGGGTGTACAGAGCATCCATGTTAATGAGCTTTGGACCAGCAAACACTCCGAACCGAGCGCGCACCTCAAACACCACATTCTTCTCCTCCTAATGCAGTTTCAGTCAAAAAGCAGATGTGTGTATCTGGCTGTTACTATCAAGTCAGTTGCACAGTTTGCCCAGATCCAGATACTCACCTTGGCTCCAACCCAGCGGGAAAAATTCTCTGTGCAGACAACTCGGGTTAAGTTTGTTGGTGCTAAATCAGAAACTTGTTTAGGGGACATCCCAAAGGCTTCGAGACAGTCATCAGCATAGTACTGATAGGGCTGCCATGTTGCTCCTGCAACACAAACATCCATTCAGTGTTTTAGGACTATACCCATGTGATGGTTTTATACTAAAGACACATTGTTGCCATGATGATCTTTCTGATGACTGCCTCACTGGTATCTGACTTGTTGAATTCATCGTATCATCACTCGTGAGGCTCTGGCTGAGAAAGAATATATCTATTGATGGATCCTCAACGAATACCCCCACACACACCACCACCTCCCCATTCCCTGCAGCATGGTCTGTTACCTTTGTCCATAGATTTCTCCAGCACCATGCTGGTCGGTCGGCCATACTCAAAGGTGATGATAATATCGTCAACCACCTCGAGGCTCTTGTTCCACGACAGAGTGATGTTGGCCATTAAGGGCTCAGGATACCTGGACCATGTGACCGTCTGCCAATATGTGATGAGCCCACCCCTCTCCTTGTCTCCCATCAGCTGAGGGGGGTGAGACAAGTCAGGGCTGGAGGCGTCACACTCATCACTGCAAAGGTAAGGGTTCTCCTGTTCACATAGCAGAAATGGACAGGGCATCAAGTACAAGTACACTTGAGGTGTTTGATAACTAGTTCCAACAATTATGTCCTTTCAATAATAACATTTTATCAGGGATTTACCACGACTATACATTTAAACTCTGAATATACATTCAAAGAAAAAAATCTACAGCCAATGTAAAACTGTGTATGAGCATGTCTGAGAGAGAAGAAGTGTTGTGGTGAGTCTGTTTTTTAAGATCAACTTATCCTTCAAAGACTTGAACGAGTGATTCGGGCTTTTATTTCCTCTCAGCTGGATCGCTGTTACTTTCTGTGTGTTGGTGATAGTCCAGGGCAGCTTCTCAGGATGCAGATGGTTCAGAACTGCAGCTCGTCTTTTAACACAAATAAAGAAACAGGAACAAATCTCCTCAGTGATGCTTCCTGTCACTGGCTCCCTGTTAGTTTTTTAATTTTAAAGTTTTTTTGATGATCTATAACAGGCTATTCAATGGGTGGCCTGCGGGCCACTTCCGGCCCGCTGGTGAGCTCGGTCCGGCAAACTATAATCACTGGATGTCCGGTCCCTGAGCTGCTGGCTCTCTGTAACTGTGGCCCCCTGAGCAGTTTAGTTGAACAGCCCCGACCTATAAGGTCCTGAAAGGACAGGCTCCTGTAGACCTGTCTGACCTCCTGCAGTTTCATGTGTCCTCCAAACCTCTTAGATCTAATGATCATTTGTCTTTAGTCATCCTGAGGCCCAGGCTGGTCCACAGAGGTGATCAGGTCTTTAGTTGTTCTGAGGTCCAGGCTGGTCCACAGAGGT